CTCTCTCGCTCTCTCTCTCTCTCGCCTCTCTCTCTCGCCTCTCTCTCTCTCGCCTCTCTCTCGTCTCGTCTCTCTTTTCCTCTCTCTCTCTCTCTCTCTCTCTCTCTCTCGTCTCTCGTCTCTCGTCTCTCTCGTCTCTCTCGTCTCTCTCGTCTCTCTCGTCTCTCTCGTCTCTCTCGTCTCTCTCGTCTCTCTCGTCTCTCTCGTCTCTCTCTCTCTCTCTCCTCTCTCTCTCTCTCTTCTCTCTCTACTCTCTCTTCTTCTCGTCTCTTTCTCTCTCTCTCCTATCTTCTCTCTCTCTCTCTGCGTGTGTGTCTGTGTGAGTGTGTGTATGTATCTTTTTTATTTGTTTATTTATTTAATTTGCTTATTAATTTACAATGCCTAGTTCACATACAAAATTAGCATAGATGTTCATATATGTACTGCAGTTTTTATTGATTTTTTTTTTTGTATTACATTACCTTAACATTTTATCTAAATGCTTTGTAAATGTGATAGCTTTTAATGTAATACAGAGGAACATCCTTCTGAATCCTACTGTGTGTCTTTACAGCACCCCTCCAACAGTGGAGTTTCTTACTGACCCCCTTATAGAGAAGACGGAGGCCTCAGTCACCACTCAGCTGGAGGTTACACTCACCACTCAACTCAAGCAAGATCAAGCTCAGGCTGGGAAGGATAATAATAATGAAGGTAAGGAAGATGGCTTAGATGAGGAAAATGGGAAAGGAAATAAGGAAACTTTGAAGGTCAAGGAAGAGAAGGAAAAGAGGAAATTAGAAAAAGAGACAGAGAAATTCATGAGGGAATTAGGCAAAAAAGAAAAGGAAGCAGAGAAAAAGGAAAAAATAAGAGTGAAGAAGGAGAAAGACCAAGAAAAGAAAGAAAAAGAGAAAGAAAGGAAAGATCAAGGTAGACTTGAGAAAATGGAGAAAGAAAAACAAGTAAAAAATGAAAAAAAATCAAAAGACAAGGAAGATCAGGAGAAACAGGATCAATATCTAACTGAAGGTGGTAAGAAGAGGAGTACATCAAATCCAGATAAAACAGAAAATGCCAAAAGTAATGACAAGGACTCAGATGATGACCCGAGGATTGGCACTTGGAACAGGCTCTCGGCTCTATTCAAGTTCAGCAAGTTGAACAGCAAGAGTTACAAGTATGAAGGTGAAGATGCCAATGGACAGGATAAAAAGTGGCAGTCTTCTCTGGACCCAGAAGCTCCACCTCTTCCCCCCAAGCCTTCACCCAATTCCCCTATTATGAAGAATATAGGGACAAGAGTTGATATATAAAAAATGATAATACTGTGCATTTAAAATATCATAGTTTCATACATAATATTTATTTGATGTTTTGTTTAATTTTCTTAGGTTGATCAATGCATTTGTTTGATGTCTTCTCACCCTTATGTTCTTACATGTTGATGCAGTTCACATGTGTACATGCTATCTCACTAATATAGGATTTTGTCTCATAAATAGGTGGTGCTGTATGACCTTAAAAGTTTAGTGCTTGTGCATGATCATCATCTCACCAAAAGGTTGTATCAGTAATGATAGTGTAGGAGTATTTATGATTCAGTGAAATATTTATATATTAAATTAAGTAAATCTATACAGTATTTATTTATAGTACGTATTAAAAAACTTTCATTAATTTTATAGTATTAAAGAAAGATATACCCATAACTCAAAGTACGTACAGTCTTTAGATAATTCATATGACAGATGCCCTGGTATAACCAGGACATCTGTCATATGAGGAAATTTCAGACAAGGTTAAATACATTCTGGGCCATTACCAAGTCACGGTCCAGGATGATAAACTATAAAGTCATCTTAAGTCTCCTTTCCAAATTGTGAGTTACTTGTGAATCGTTCCAGCCACTGTATTGTGACTATTATTGTTTATTTTAGTATACAGCACTTTGCTGAAGCTTTAAAGTAAATTTGAATCACTTCTTGAAGAATTATAAAAGCAAGTACATTTGGCTTAAGTTTTGTAGTTGGGTTTAACCCGTAAACAGCCAATGATGTAAATCTGCGCCAGCCGTGAGACTCTTGATAACAAATTTTCACCTAAATTCTGTCACCTCCAAAATGGTCCCAGTTGGCCTGGTTTTTGATTACATTAGAGAAAAATCTGTGCCATAGATGTGTGCAGTATTAAAGAAACTGTGTTGTGTGCAGGGTATTATGGAGCCAATAAATGCTCTTTACATTTGTTTACATTGTTTAGTGTGACTAAAAAAAAATAAAAAAATAAATACAAGTGAGATACAGTGGACCCCCGCATAGCGAACTTAATCCGTGCAAGAGGGCTGGTCGTTAAGCGAAATGTTCGCTATGCGAATTAATTTTCCCCATAAGAAATAATGGAAATAAAATTAATCCGTGCAAGACACCCAAAAGTATGAAAAAAAATTTTTTTTACCACAAAAAAATGTTAATTTTAGTACACACAAACTGAAAAAGGCATGCACAATTACATGACACTTACTTTTATTGAAGATCTGGTGATGATTGATGGGATGGGAGGAGGGGAGAGAGAGTGTTAGTGTTTAGAAGGGGAATCCCCTTCCATTAGGACTTGAGGTAGCAAGTCCTTTTCCGGGGTTACTTCCCTTCTTCTTTTAATGCCACTAGGCCCAAAGCTTCAGAGTCACTGGACCTCTGTCGCACAACAAATCTGTCCATAGAGCTCTGTACATCCCGTTCCTTTACGATTTGTCTAAAATGGGCCATAACATTGTCATTGAAATAGTCACCAGCACGGCTTGCAACAGCTGTGTCAGGGTGATTTTCATCCATAAAGGTTTGCAGTTCAACCCACTGTGCACACATTTCCTTAATTTTTGAAGTAGGCACAATGGATTCCACAACTGGCATAGGCTTCTCAGGGTTACCCCCAAAAACCCTTCAAAATCTTTCTTAATTTCCATACTAATTCTCACCCTTTTTACCACAGGGTTGGCACTAGAAGCTTTCTTGGGGCCCATGGTCACTTATTTTCCAGAAACAGCACCGAAAACACTGTAATAATACGAAATATTCCGAGTGTATGCTTGAATGTTACCGCGGAGGCTGGCTGGTAAACAATGGACGCGTCTCCGACGAAGGTCGCTGAGCGGGTTTTTGTCCACTATGCGGGGCAAAATTTTGGCGAACAAAGCGTTCGCTATGCGGATTGTTCGCTATGCAAGGCGTTCGCTATGCGGGGGTCCACTGTACTCTACTATATGGAAACATAGATATAGGAATAAAACAAATGATCCACAAAAAAATAATTAGAAAAGCTTCAAGAAATCATAATACATATTTAAAAGAGTAAAACAGCAACTTCCTCAATGGGGCAAGCACTCATGTACATTGACATATTTGGTCACAGATGTCACTTTCAAGACTTCATATCTCCATAAGTAATAATCAGATTCTGTCAGGGAGCATTTTTTGGTTAGATAATTTTTTTTTTTCAAAATTGCCAGCAATGGAGAGCACATTAGAACCTTTGGCAGCTTAAGGGTTAAACCTAACACTGTTTTTTTTTTATTCGCTGCTGTGCACCACTTTCCATAAAAAAAAAAAAATAACACATCTGCCATTTCCAACCCTCTGCTTTATGGATTATTTGGAACAGGCAATAAATATTAATTGGAGGATTCTTCAGAATCTCATTTAGCACTGCACGACATATTTGTATAGAACACTTGCTTTTTAACCCTTAAACGGTCCAAACATATACATATACATTTTTTCAACATCTGAAAGTATGTAAAAAAAATGTAGATCTTCCTTTTTGTTTTACATTTGAAGACGTGTAAAAAAAACTTTTATCTACTTTTTTTTTTGTTATATTTGAAAAAATGTAAAAAAAAGTAGATCTACTTTTGTAGCACTACGAATTTGAACGTCGATCTGTTTGGACCGTTTAAGGGTTAGTATGTAATAATAGTAATTCGGGATCTGTGAATTCCAAGGTTGAGAGGGAAAATGGGGGTAGTGGCCAGCAAGTGAGGAATCAAGTGAGAGATGGAACTAGTGAGAGAAATTAGGAGCAAGCAAAAGAGGACAAGTGAATATGAGAGAGTGTCAGCAGGCAGGTAAATGAGCTAGAGGGAGAGAAAGAAAATGAGTGAGCAAACGGAGGAGGAGGAAGGGCAGATAAGAACAAGTGTGCAAATGAAAGAATGTAAAGGCATGCTAAGGAGAGAGAGAGAGAGGGTGAGTGAGCATACAAGAGAGAAAGCAATGAGTATGGAATAACCCTTTTTTCTTAATCATCAGCCCGTATTTTTTCAAGGCAGGGTTACCCAAGGAAAGAAACACATTCACCATCAATCATTCAAGAGAATTATTTCTTAAAGTGTACAGATAAAGCAATTCAAATAACCCTCTGAAATAATATATCCCCTTTCATTCTTCAGAGTACACTGTTCTTACCTCCAGAACTCAAGTCTGGCAAACAGGTTTCTCTGAATTCCTTCGTACTCCAACAGCATGTCAATTCTCAAAAAACTACTTGTTCCCACTCATTCTGATCCTATCAAGCTCACTCATGCTTGCTGGATGCTTGATCTTATAGCACTGGATGCTTGATCTTATAGCACTGGATGCTTGATCTTATAGCACTGGATGCTTGATCTTATAGCACTGGATGCTTAACCTTATAGCACTGGATGCTTGATCTTATAGCACTGGATGCTTGATCTTATAGCACTGGATGCTTGATCCTATAGCACTTTACACCCTCCTCCTAACCTTTTCTGGGTTTTTTCCTTACAGTACCCTCCACCCATTCCAGATTTATAAGTTCTCTTTGTCAACTTTACTATATGATCCAGTCATCTCAAGAATTCCTCTGCTCTCTTGCATTATACCTCTCATATCAGTATGCTGTCCTTTAATTTCTTCACTCATTATCTGTATGGTATTCACACCACGTATTGAGCTCAATGTGTGTGTTGCTATTGGTATATACTTTGTTACAATAAATTCCTTTTTGTGTGTGTATTTATGAACCATTTTCTTTCAACAGATACCTTACCACACTACTTCTTATTTCTCTATTATCTGTTTTCTGATTAACCTTGTTCTTAATTCACCTATCTACTAACATGTTCACTACTAAATACCCAAATACATTTATTTCCTGCGTACTTCCACCAAGCTGATATGCAGTCTTTTATCATGTAGACTTTTTCTTATTCTTGTTTAACTTTCTTCTTTTACACACCCAAATTCCTCCATCAACCTTTGCAACATATGTTCCAAATGTAGGGGACTTTCTGTATTGATTCCAAATTTGATTTTCTTTTTCATGACTTTCCAGTACCTGCTGTTAAATGATTATTTTATTATGTTTGTTATTTTCATATAGTCGGACTTGAGTCCTGGAAATGGGAAGTACAATGCCTGCACTTTAAAGGAGTGGTTTGGGATATTGGCAGTTTGGAGGGATATGTTGTGTATCTTTATACGTATATGCTTCTAAGCTGTTGCATTCTGAGCACCTCTGCAAAAGCAGTGATAATGTGTGAGTGTGGTGAAAGTGTTGAATGATGATGAAAGTATTTTCTTTTTGGGGATTTTCTTTCTTTTTTGGGTCACCCTGCCTCGGTGGGAGACGACCGACTTGTTGAAAAAAAAAAAAAAGTTTGTTAGTCATGTTTGGAATTAAGTGTTTAATTACATTTTTATGTACATAGTAGAATTTTTCATTTACATTACTGCATTAAAGTTATACTTTTTCATGTAGCATTTTATGCCATTTAATTTTTTCAAAGTGCTACCTAACATCAGCATACTTTGCTTTATTATTATCTAGTTAATATTGTTTATACTGTATTTGTTTATTTTTATCCTCTCCAAGACATATTTAGGAACATACATTGGTAAAATATTTTCAGCAAAATGAGCCAGTAACATAAACGTGATGTACACTCCCTTTAAATCTCTGACAGAATTGCTTGAAGTTTTAGCACCATGTATACATAAGGTAAGCTTCTGCATATACAGTACAGTCATGTAGCCTATGCATACTTAATGTCAGTGGGAAAAAGATAATGTGAAGTCCCTGTCTGAAACCATCCATACCACGGGTGGGGTTTGATCCCGCGGTCAGAGAGTCTCAAAACTCCAGACCTTCGCGTTAGCTCTCTGACCGTGGGATCAAACCCCACCCGTGGTATGGTTTGTTTCCAATCGTGTCAATATGATTTCGTGAGTCCCTGTCTGAAATATTGAAAAGCCTCCTATCTGTCAATTGATTCAAAGCTATTTTTAAAAAGTGCCTCATCTCCTTAATGGAATTGAGACAGCAGTTCTGTCCCTGTTCTTCAAGCCTTCCTTCAACTCCCATACATAAATGGTAACACATCTTGTCCCGCTGTATTTCTATTGTAACTAAGTAACTTGCTGTATCTTCACCATCTCTGTTCAGTCACTCCACTGAACTGAAGATCATTGAATCAGTTTGAAATAATACGTAATTCTTTTGTAATTGACCATTTCATTAACTACCTTTCTTATTATTGTACTTATGATTGTAGTTAACTGCATAAGAATTCCTACTTAATAGTCTATGTCTAGTTCCTCAGTAACATTTAACCAATGTTTTTTTGCACATAAACTATATTATTTGTACCACATAAAGAAATCAAAATTGTATTGTAGTTTAAAGTGTGTAAGTAGATATGACCATAAGGGAAGTTATTGAGCTGATATGAGTGAATTTTCCAGTCTGTTATTGTGTCTTATTGGAGTGGTGAAGTTTCTGTGATAAGCAGAGGGTTATAATTGACTCCCAGTTTCATATATCTTTTTTAAATTAGAAATAAATATGCCATAGTCAATATACTTTGAGGAATGGGTATAATTTGGGTTAAACGTGTTCATAATTATCTTTAGTGGATTTTATTTCCTGGTAGTGCTTATGTGCAAAATAAGATCATCTGTATTACAGACTGGTGGAGAATATGGTCTTCCATTGTTGCACTCGTGTGCATTGTAACAGGTGTTAAATGTGAGTGATGAGTCATCTAATGTATCTTGTGTCGAGAATTTGCTTGTGATCTATATTTACACACTGTTACTCATGCCATGTTAAAAGTTTAGCAATAATAGTTAATGTCATGATGGATATTAGCTAATATAATCTTGTTTTGAATGAAAACTAGTTTTTCTAATTTTTCATATGGTATGATGGCCTTTAGGAAGACCACTGTTTCCACTTCCAAGGAAACCTTCCAACACATATTTTATATTTAACTTTTTATTGGATGAACTGGTAAGCCAGAGGAAGGTGTGTGGTTGCATGACCAAGGCCTCCATGGCATGGGTCATCGTATGACTTCGGACCTTCATCAGGTAAAATTTTTACATGTTTTGTGACAAGATACCACCACCACCCAGAGAGGGTAGAGTATTATTTTATATGTATTATTTTGTCTTATTTCAGAGATATAAATTAAGTTATAGTTTTATTTATAAATCTTTACATTTTCAATGTTGATTATTACAAGCTTTGCATCAAACTGTTTCTTTCTTTGCTATGATTCTATGTTGTTTCACTGGTATTGTGTAAAATTACCATCAGAGTATTTTATTTAAATTGTATGTATTTCTGTGTTAATTAAGTGGTCTGCTCTAAAAATTCTTTTTTTTTCTTTTCATTTTGTGTAGGTGATATAATGGAAAAAAGTTTGTAGAAATGTATATGTGGGCCCCCAAAAATTGTAGAGTGTGAATTACTATACATATGGCTGCAGTCACACATGTATAAAAAGATTTGTGATTCAGTATTTTAATTTAAACTTTACCATATCACTACAATTTTTTTTTTATGAATTAGGCACCTTGAACACATTTTAATACACTAGATATTTGAATTGAGTCTGTAAAGCCTAATATATTTTATCTAGATGAAATATAGCTTCATATTATGGTTAGTTTCATTTTAAAATACAGACTTGGAGTGGTCCAGTTTATTAAAGATGAAAGCATAATTTTAGAATTTCTATGTTCCTGCCCCTTAATTTTTTCCACTTCATGAGAAAATCTTATTGATTAAATTTGTGCCTGATCAGATAATATTTGTGGGCAACTCAAAGGTTGAAGTTACCACAAGATATCCCATAGATTCCCCCACCTCCTTCATTTAGGATGGGTATTATCTGCTCAAGGCAGGGGTATATAGCTTCTGGAAATTTCTTTCAGTGGTGGTCAACAACTTGCAATAAGTATCAGTCAGTCCTTATTCTTGGTGTACTTTCTGCTGTACTTCTAGATTAAAGCAACCCTGCATTTGGCATTGTCATTGATGACCCTGATGTTTCCCACCTTCTGGAGGCCCTTGAAAGTCCTTATCTGAGTCCCAAGTTAACTGATCTTTGTTCAGGAACTCGCCATTGATCTTGAGGGCCTAGAGAAGCTTGGGAAATTTATTGTGGCCAAGGGAACCAACACTGGGAGGGGACCTTGCAGATGGCTCTCACATTTTGGGCAGTTGTGGTCGCTTTCACACTCATCCATTGCCATACTGTATAACATATTATACCAGAAAATATTCAGGCCTCAAGAGTTATCCCAAAGTATTATCTCATAGAGCTCAAATTTAGCCAGTATTATTTTCCTATTAAGTGGAAAAACATTAGGGGATAGGAGAAGTAGAAATCAAAAGTTCAATTTTTGAACCTTCCTGCCTGAGTACATATGTGATTTCATGACATTAATACTGAAGAGTGCCCCGAATGATCAAAAAAAAAAAAATCAACATATTCTGTATACTGATTAAGGCAAACATATTTAATGTTTTTTGGGAAACTTTTCTGGTCATGGCTAAAGCTCCTCACTTACCAAAAAAAAAAAAAAAAAGAATGTTTTTTGTACTTTGTGGAGAAGTCAGTATAGTTGTGTCTGTCAGTTTAGTCTTTAGTACCCTTTACATAATTTGTTGCTTTCACGATATAATAAGATTCTCATTTCACAAAAAAGGGATTATATTGTATGATTTTATTTTTATTATCACACTGGCCGATTCCCACCAAGGCAGGGTGGACCGAAAAAGAAAAACTTTCACCATCATTCACTCCATCACTGTCTTGCCAGAAGGGTGCTTTACACTACAGTTTTTAAACTGCAACATTAACACCCCTCCTTCAGAGTGCAGGCACTCTACTTCCCATCTCCAGGACTCAAGTCCGGCCTGCCGGTTTCCCTGAACCCCTTCATAAATGTTACTTTGCTCACATTCCAACGGCACGTCAAGTATTAAAAACCATTTGTCTCCATTCACTCCTATCAAACACGCTCACGCATGCCTGCTGGAAGTCCAAGCCCCTCGCACACAAAACCTCCTTTACCCCCTCCCTCCAACCTTTCCTAGGCCGACCCCTACCCCGCCTTCCTTCCACTAGACTGATACACTCTTGAAGTTATTCTGTTTCGCTCCATTCTCTCCACATGTCCGAACCACCTCAACAACCCTTCCTCAGCCCTCTGGACAACAGTTTTGGTAATCCCGCACCTCCTCCTAACTTCCAAACTACGAATTCTCTGCATTATATTCACACCACACATTGCTCTCAGACATGACATCTCCACTGCCTCCAGCCTTCTCCTCGCTGCAACATTCATCACCCGTCACCCATATTGTATGATGTCATAAGCTATGTTTTGTCAGTGCATCTTAAATTGTTTAAATTTCACTTGTCAAGTCTCCAGAACACAAAGAATACCTATTTTTCATAATATTAGGTTCCATTATAATGGCCTACATCTTAGAAGTATCTTAGTGAATTGTATAAATCTTTATCTTTGATGCCTTGTTTCATCTGGGAACTACCTTACTGGCAGCTGTCTTCCACCTGTCATTGGGTTAATTCGGTTGAGTCTGTCTACTTTTTGCTGACTAACTTGTATTCATAGTTTTCATTACTAGTAATGCTCAGTTCCTCCCCCTCCCCCTTTCATACAGTGGGGGGGAGTTGCTTTGAAGA